AGATTTTTCAAGTGTGGCTCAGGTATGTCTAATTTGGGGGTGCTCTCGTCTCTGTATACTCTGTCCAGTATCATTCCTATGGTTGTGTCGACTGGGACGTTGGTAAAAAGGGATTCAACGTCCAGGGAAGCGATGATTCCATCGGGCTGGGTAGATTTGATCAATTCTAGGAAATCTGCTGATGATTGTAGACTAAACTTACTTGGAGTGTATGGAGTTAAGAGTTCATTGAGTTTTTTTGCCAGGTAATAAGTTGGGGTTGGTATTTGGCTGATTATAGGGCGTAGTGGGTTACCTGGTTTATGCGTCTTAACATTGCCGTAAGCATATCCTAAGCCATAGTCGCCTTGAAGTTTATTGAAATGCACACTACCTTTCTTTGCGTTGATTGCTGTAATTGTTTTCTTTTCTTCACCTTAAAAGTACGAAAATGAGTTTTGGAGAACTCCTATTCCAATTAAGCCCTGATGCTAAGAAAATAGTTAGAGGGATAGAAGCCCTAAACCAGAAAATAATAAATACAGAATATGCGGTCATATTCAATGAAATATGTTTGAAAGAAAACCTGCTGCCAGTATACACCAATATATATATATATATATATATATATATATATATATATATATATATATATATATATATATATATATATATATATATATATATATGTGTATATATATATATATGTATATATATATATATTTAACTGAAAACTCACACCACAGAAGTGACTCGAACCCATACTGCCAGAAGTAGTACTGCATCTGATGTACAGGATCCCTTAACCACTCGACCATCACGACCGAACAAAAGAGGATGGTAGCCGAGGCTAATTCCCCATTCCTCCGCCGGCACTCTGATGGTAATCTTGGGGATGGTATTTTATCAAATCACCTCAATCTTTGGGGCACACGTGAGGAACACAAATGCAAACAAGCCTGAACGGTCTCCAGGCATATATGCAACTGAAAACTCACACCCCAGAAGTGACTCGAACCCATACTGCCAGAAGCACTGCAACTGATGTACAGGATCGCTTAACCACTCGACCATCACGACCGGACAAAAGTGGTTAACGGATCCTGTACATCAGTTGCAGTGCTTTTGGCAGTATGGGTTAAACTACTTACACCATAGGGGGGTCGAGCGCCGCAACCCGTCCTCCAACAACCCGTCCTCCAACAACCCGTCCTCCAGCAACCCGTCCTCCAGCAACCCGTCCTCACACTAGGTTGGTTAAAGCCGCGGCCGTCCTCCCCAGACGCATTCATCAATTTTAACATATTGTGTATTAAAAATTCTCTTATATAAATTTATGTATAGAATTGTTGTCATGTTGTTCTCATATACAATTGTATATATAGAAATGATATTATACATAGCAATTCTATATATAGTTAGCCGTAGGTTAGGTGTTTAGGTTCTGTTGGCGATTATTTGTACTTGAAGTACGTGGGTGAAGCATTTATAGAATTGTGGTTAGAACAGAGGTCGTGAGCGAAGCACTTGTTACGGAAGTGTTCGGACGTCATCATTTGTGAGTCATGTGTGTAAACCGCTTTTCATTCATAAACAACGGGTTTGGCGGCTGGATTAACGAGCTTGGATCTTGGTATGCGGGGGACAGGCTTAGAGCGCCGACAAGCAAGAAACGAGGACACATTTTTCAATGGTTTATTCTGTCTTGCGTTTAATGCAAGCTTTATATCACTAATATTGACAATTATTGGATTTACTGCTTATAGTGAACAAACGCAACTTACAGAATATTATGTTATATGTAAACACCTTCATTCCTTCTTGGCCATCTGTTGGTAAAGTTGGATTCTAGCCCTTCAGAAAGTGCGGCTAAGTGATTTTCTGTTGTGCACCAAAGTGAAGTCAGTCACAGTGGACATCTCGAGTATGGAATACGTATCATCGCCCAGCCTGGGTCTGGAATACGTATCATCGCCCAGCCTGGGTCTGGAATACGTATCATCGCCCAGCCTGGGTCTGGAATACGTATCATCGCCCAGCCTGGGTCTGGAATACGCATCATCTTCAACCCTGGGTATGGATTGGTTAAGTATTTTTCAAAGAGCACTGAACAGGTGAACAACTTGGATGAACGCTTGTAGCAACTTGCCACTAATAAGTTCAGAACTTGAGCTTAAGCTCTATCAACATCCTGGGTTAAGCTGCACACTCTGGCTCACTCACTCTCAGTGTCCACACAGTGAGAATTATATTCACCAAGAGGGGTTTTGTCTGGTGAATGGATTAAGGCCTGAAAACCGCTGAGGTTACTAAGAGTGTATTCACCTCTTTGTGTTCACCTATTTGTGCCTACACGATCAAGTTGTTAGCGCTTGGATCCCACCTTTCCAGCCGTCGGCTATAAAATATAATGTCTCCCGACCCATTTTGTCTATAATTTATATACTAGTATACGTTACACACACGCACACTCACACACACACACACACACACACACACACACACACACACACACACACACACACACACACACACACACACACACACACACACGCACACTCACACACGAGTGAATAACTCAATTCTGCAGGCACAATAAAAATAGTAAATACACGTATACATTCCCAGGATGCAAACCCACAACAGTTGCCTAGCCCACAAGAGCTATGTACAGCAGGGTGCAGAGAGCCATCAGGTGAAAGGAAACGTTGACCAAATGTCCTGCCACGGAATTCAACTCGCGATCATCGGTCGTGAGCGGCATATGGCTGGCCAACTCACACACTACCACAGCGATGTGTTACCAATACCTTACTGGGTCAGCCCTTCCTTGTAGTTCTGTTCAACGTTGTCTAATGTTGTCAGAGGAATTCTTTTGTCATGGTGCTTACTTGACCCTTTATGTACATGTATGGAGCTATATATGTGTTTTTGTCCTGCTGCAAGGATCGGAGGTGTCTTCTCTATTTGCTAGCTTCGACAGGGCTGTGAATGTGTAGTGTGTGGTGTCCAGTTCTGTCTCAGGGATGTTGTTCATTCCCGTTTTGTATATATCAATTTTAGGTCATTGTGTTCGGTTTATTGTTAAATTTAATTGTTGAATGTTGAATGTATGTTGCTGTAGAGTTTCCCTTATAATGCATTATTATGTTCCTTTGTTTTGTTGTATTTTGGTAGGTGCGAACAGCTTCCGTTTGTCGAGGTCCCTTGAGCGTGTGTGTGTGTGTGTGTGTGTGTGTGTGTGTGTGTGTGTGTGTGTGTGTGTGTGTGTGTGTGTGTGTGTGTGTGTGTGTGTGTGTGTGTGTGTGTGTGTGTATTACGTATTTATCTTTTTCTGTTGTTTGGTTTTGGTGTTGTGTGTTTACGTACTTGTGCCGTGTTCTACTTGTTTGGGTTTAAAGTAACATTTCTGCGCGTCTGTGTACGGTTCCCATAGTACCTGTGTTTCTGTATTTGAACTCTGCTATTTAATGCTTTGGTTTGATTATAATGTTTTGCTATGTTCATGTGGTGTTTGTTTACTGTTATGGTGCTCCGGTACCTTTTCTTTTATTTTGTATTTATACTTTTTTTTTAGAAAAAAAAACTTACTTTCTCACCATCCAATTTCTTATTTAGACCTAAAAAGAAATTAAAAAAAATATGAAAACATATGAAATGTACATACACCTTGAACGTACTAAAACTTAGAAATATTTATACATATATATAAGTGGTTTTACCGTTTGGCCGATTTTATTCACATAAATTATTATAACCTGCTTTGTGTCTCACTGATACCTGATTCAGTGTCTTTCGTTTAATGCAATAATATTGTCATGGTATCAGTACTAACAATATGATTTACAGGTTATTTAATAGAGTGTTCAAAGCTCATCACAACACAGTTTATAAACTGACGAATACCTTTGAATACCATAAAAAAAAATTTGATGTCACAGCCAATCGGCCTTGAACGTTCGACATTCTCCTAAAAAAGGGGTTGGCGACCGGCCATTATCGTTCTGTTCATCAGTCCGTGAATAGAACGATAATGAAATGCATGCTTTAGTGTTATCGTACGCTTATGACTATTGATGTATCGTGTAGTCTTGTTTACTTGTTTTGGCCCTCCATCTTAGATTAACGAAGGGATCCACAATGACAAGCAATAAAACACTAGTGTGGAGGGTTGACCGGCTTCCTCAGTGAGTGGAACAGGTTTGGATGGCGTCGGGCCTCTGGGAGCCGGGCAGCGTTGCTAACACCTCCGCACCACACACACACACGCGCGTCTGACGTGAAGCTCTGAGTACACCGAGACGGGAAGACAACTCAGGATCTGCCTAGTCTTTCCGTCTCTCTATCGCTCTGTCTCTCTCTTTTTCCTCTTGAGGTCGTTTGGAAATTGCTTTAAAATTATCGTCTCTGTTATCCGCAAAACAATGTGTGCCCAAACTGTGAGACCTGCACTTAACTCATGAGAAAGTGAAAGGAATATTGCACTGAAGCAATGCCAAAGTTCAGACAAGACTTGACTATATCTGTTTCTTTGCCTTAACACAACGCCTCTTGTATAGTTACCATTACCATACTAATGTCAACATAAATCTCACGAGGTATACAGAGAGTGATTGTAGCGGTTTGTTGTGTACAGAGGGAGAGAAGTTGGTGTGTGTAACGACCTCATGTGCCAGCGGCGGTAACAACCCTCGCTAGTTACATCCCGTTAAAGCAGGTTAGCGGGACGACCTTGATTCGTCAGTGCTTCTAATGCTAACTTTCCCCTTCCATACATTAACTAACCATTCCCGCTTACCTCAGCCACTGCTTATACTGTCCCACTTCCCATAAATAGACTTAAGTAGCTATCGTAAATGGCTTGTTGTCACTCACTACTTGTTTCAAACAAGAATTACGCAATGATGTGGGTTTTTTTGTGTGTATGTGTCTGTGTGGGATTCTTTTTTTCCTAGTTCAGAGAATTATAAGGTGGAGGCTGCCCCGTGGAGTGTCAGTAAGGCCCCGCCTCCTTCCGTCGAGCAGGTCGGGGCTCAGCTGGTATATAACCACACGGGCCTCCGCCGACCACACATCTTCCAAGGCGTCTCAACACTCACAACAAATGAAGCTCGTAAGTTCAACAGTCTCAATGTTTATGTTGTTATTTGTTTACCACTTTTTTTGTATATATAGTGTAAAGTTCCCTGTGCTTTGTTTACATTCATCTTGAGTTCTTTTTTTTTTGTTTTGTCTAAGTGTTACTAATTTTATCCGTGTTCGCCTGGTATATAATCGCGTAATTCGTAATTATCCCGTATAATTACGGTCAAATATTTTGCTAAATTAATATCTTTTCGTCGGGGTGATGTTCAACATCAAATTAGTTCCACATTTGAAATAACGTTGAGAAAAAAAAAGAGAGTGCCTTTACTGGGGAAAGACACAAGTAATGGTAACCTGTCGACTCTCTCCTGTAGGTGCTCCTCGCCTGCCTGGCCGCCGTCGGCGCCGCCGCCCCTCACGTCCAAGACGGCCAGCCGGTGGTGTTGATCCTCAGCGACGACGGCTCCTTCAGCTACGCGGACGAGGTTGACAATAACGTCGCCGTGGAAGCCTCCGACACTAACTCGGAGGGCCAGAGCAACCTGCAGGGCATCTTCAAGTAAGACCGCCGCACATGTTTATTGTTACTCCAGTTTTGGAGACGACATATGAATGGTTAACCATTCACAAATATTATTACGAAATTTATGTTGTTTCATTTTATTATTCATGCTATTCATACAGATTGTTTACATCTTCGTATCACATGATTTAATATCATTTAAATTTACATTCAATATACGTATCAATTGATTTTTGTTAAGTGAAAGAAAATAGTTAATTTAGCCTAAATTGTATGCATACATTTTTTATGCATATATATAAAATGATTCGAAGCTTCGTAAAAGGTTCATATTATTTTTTCCTCAAATCGTCTCTTTAATACTGAATAATCAAATGTTCACGATCTCGTTCAGGTTCCCTCTACCTGAAGAAGGGTTCGCCGAGGTTCGTTACATAGCCGACGGGAACCCGCTGCCCACCTACGTCTTCCTGCAAGCCCGCCCACTCCCTCAAGAACACCCACATCCAGGTTCGACTCGCTTGAAGCGGGAAGCCATTAAAATAAAAAAGTCAAAGTCAAAGGGAAATTCGCAGGAAGACGAGGAAGACGGTAATATAATGTCGAGATTTTTGAAAATGATTTCAGATGCAAGAAAATTTGTTTACTCGTCGCGGCCAGTCTCTTAAGAATTTGCTGTTCTGTTTCTCCTTTATTAAACTTATTATTTATTTATTATGTATTTATTTATTATGTAGCAGTATTTATTTATCCCTAGGAAGTAAACACATTTTACAATTCTCATTAGTGGAATTGATCCCAATGTGCTTGTTGATAGTTGTCTACAATTCCCCTCCCCCGCCTCCCCCCCCCCCAAAAAAAAAAAAATCTTAAATTCTAGATTAGAGTCCCGTTCAGACGTGCGACAGAGGTTCGGGACAAGCTTTTCAACTCTCGTCACCATCGGAATCACTATTTGTTATTAGTGTGTTGTGCTTGTGTTGCGATCCCAGCTCTCTGACTTAGCACAGCGGGAGCAGTATTGCAAGAAGTGGAATAACGCGAATCACGAATTCTGTCTTCATAAGTCCTCTCATGGAAGTTTCAGTATCGAGTCAAGTTCGTCTTCCCAACGAGTTTCAGAGTCGACTTTGAACTAGTTTCGGGGTCGACTCCCAACTGATTCTAGGATTGACTTGCCAATTAGTTTTCGGAGTCAACTTTCCATTTCTTCCAGGATAGACTGGCAACAAGTTCTTGATTAGATTCTTCAACTAATTACAGGATTGAGTCCCAGTTAATTCAAGGACTGACTCAATAAATAGTTCAAGGTTCGACTCCCCAAATAATTCCGGAATCGACTCATCAGCTTATTCCAAGGTCGACTGACTCTCGAATTAATTCCAGAATCGACTTGTCAATTAGTTCCAGATGATGAACTGTTGGAGTTCATATGAAGAAACAGTTGTTATCATTTTTATTATCAACATATTATTACTTTGGATTAGTGTTACTTTTCATGACTGCCAAGGTGCTCCTGGAAGAGCGGTCAGTGCTCCTGGAAGAGCGGTGGGTGCTCCTGGAAGAGGGGTAGGTGCCCCTGGAAGAGCGGTGGTTGCTCCTGGAAGAGCGGTGAGTGCTCCAGGAAGAGCGATCAGTGCTCCTTGAAGAGCGGTGGGTGCTCCTGGAAGAGCGGTGGGTGCTCCTGGAAGAGCGGTCAGTGCTCCTGGAAGAGCGGTGGGTACTCCTGGAAAAGCGGTCAGTGCTCCTGGAAGAGGGGTCAGTGCTCTTGGAAGAGCGGTTAGTGCTCTTGGAAGAGCGGTGGGCACTCCTGGAAAAGCGGTCAGTGCTCCTGGAAGAGCGGTCAGTATTCCTGGAAGAGCGGTCAGTGCTCTTGGAAGATCGATGGGTGCTCCTGGAAGAGCGGTCAGTGCTCCTGGAAGAGCGGTGGGTGCCCCTGGAAGAGCGGTGGGTGCTCCTGGAGGAGCGGTCAGTGCTCCTGGAAGAGCGGTGGGTGCCCCTGAAAGAGCGGTGGGTGCCCCTGGAAGAGCGATGGGTGCTCCTGGAAGAGCGGTCAGTGCTCCTGGAAGAGCGGTGGGTGCTCCTGGAAGAGCGGTCAGTGCTCCTGGAAGAGCGGTGGGTACTCCTGGAAGAGCGGTGGGTGCTCCTGGAAGAGCGGTGGGTGCTCCTGGAAGAGCGGTCAGTGCTCCTGGAAGAGCGGTGGGTGCTCCTGGAAGAGCGGTCAGTGCTCCTGGAAGAGCGGTGGGTGCTCCTGGAAGAGCGGTCAGTGCTCCTGGAAGAGCGGTCAGTGCTCCTGGAAGAGTGGTGGGTGCTCCTGGAAGAGCGGTCAGTGCTCCTGGAAGAGCGGTGGGTGCTCCTGGAAGAGCGGTCAGTGCTCCTGGAAGAGCGGTCAGTGCTCCTGGAACACGCTACCGATGTAAACTGTCTGGAAACATCTCCGGACACGTATTTATATATATTAATGCATTACTAAAATTTCCACTTGTTTGAAGATTTGGCTTACACCTGTTACTGTTATTATTATGTCCTGAGAATCATAATTGGTCATTTTGTATGCAGGCGATGAGTCACAATAACGTGGCTTAAGTAAGTTGACCAGACCACACACTAGAAGGTGAAGGGACGACGACATTTCGGTCCATCCTGGACCATTCTCAAGTCGATTCACTTGAGAATAGTCTTGAGAATGGTCCAGGACGGACCAAAACGTCGTCGTCCCTTCACCTTCTAGTGTGTGGTCAGGTCAACTCATTTTGTATTATAAATATATCCTTCTTTCTTTGGAAAATAAAATCTCTAGCTGTGTTACACTGTGTTACGCTGTGTTACGCTGTGTTACACTGTGTTACGCTGTGTTACGCTGTGTTACACTGTGTTACGCTGTGTTACGCTGTGTTACACTGTGTTACATTGTGTCTCAGTTATCGACCACCGATGTGTTGTGATGTCTAAATAAATAAAGTCTAAATAAAGAAAACGGTTTTAACTTTGATTTATTTTTGTCACTGGTTAAATAACCCAGTGAGAGAGGGAATGTTCAGGGGAAAGTGCCCAGCCATTACGACTATATAGCACTTGGAAGGGGTCTGGATACGGATTTTGGATGGGACGGGAGAAAGGAATAGTGTCCAACCACTTGGATTGTCGGGGATTGAACACCGACTTGCATGAAGCGAGACCATCGCTCTACCGTCTATCTAGTAACCCAGTGAGCATAATTTCCATAATATCCACATAATATCCATATTCCAAGGTGAGGTAACGTTACTAGTGTTTGTGCTCACGTTACTGGTGTTTGTGCTCACGTTACAGGTGTTTGTGCTCACGTTACTGGTGTTTGTGCTCACGTTACTGGGATTTGTGCTCCCGTTACAGGTGTTTGTGCTCCCGTTACTGGTGTTTGTGCTCCCGTTACTGGTGTTTGTGCTCCCGTTACAGGGGTTTGTGCTCCCGTTACTGGTGTTTGTGCTTACGTTACTGGTGTTTGTGCTCCCGTTACTGGTGTTTGTGCTCCCGTTACTGGTGTTTGTGCTCCCGTTACAGGTGTTTGTGCTCCCGTTACTGGTGTTTGTGCTCCCGTTACTGGTGTTTGTGCTCACGTTACTGGTGTTTGTGCTCCCGTTACAGGTGTTTGTGGTTACTGGTGTTTGTGCTCCCGTTACTGGTGTTTGTGCTCCCGTTACTGGTGTTTGTGCTCACGTTACTGGTGTTTGTGCTCCCGTTACTGGTGTTTGTGCTCCCGTTACAGGTGTTTGTGCTCCCGTTACTGGTGTTTGTGCTCCCGTTACTGGTGTTTGTGCTCCCGTTACAGGGGTTTGTGCTCCCGTTACTGGTGTTTGTGCTTACGTTACTGGTGTTTGTGCTCCCGTTACTGGTGATTGTGCTTACGTTACTGGTGTTTGTGCTCCCGTTACTGGTGTTTGTGCTTACGTTACTGGTGTTTGTGCTCCCGTTACAGGTGTTTGTGCTCACGTTACTAGTGTTTGTGCTCACGTTACTAGTGTTTGTGCTCACGTTACTAGTGTTTGTACTCTGCCATCTGGGATTCTTGAGGTTATCTTGAGATGATTTCGGGGCTCTAGTGTCCCCGCGGCCCGGTCCTCGACCAATCCTCCACCCCCAGGAAGCAACCCGTGACAGCTGACTAACACCCAGGTACCTATTTACTGCTAGGTAACAGGGGCATAGGGTGAAAGAAACTCTGCCCAGTGTTTCTCGCCGCCGCCCGGGATCGAACCCGGGACCACAGGATCACAAGTCTAGTGTGCTGTCCGCTCGGCCGACCGGCTCCCCTTAAGATCACTCACACACTCTCCCGGCTGTCATGATAGCAACTTTCAAATCCCAAGGTAGGTAGGATAGCGAGCTCAGTTGATGACATTTAAGCCTGAATGACTGGCTGAGGCCGAGCAGTCAATCTGAGTTCAGATTAACTTAAGACCTTCAGATTAATGCAGGTCGGCGTTCAATAACCGACCGGCCACAAGTGGTGGAGCATCATTCCTCCTCCCCCCCACTTTCTCTGGTCCCATTAAAAATCCTTATCCTTATACCTTCCCAGTACTATATAGTCGTAATGGCTTGGCACGTGTTCCTGATAGTTCCCTTCCCTTTCAAGGCCTTTGATCAACGTCTCCAACTTTTCTGCAGCATTAAAGTATACTGCAGTCTTAGGCGCGGGGGTGAAGCGCCCGCATATTGATTTTCGAAACTCTTTTTGAACTTTGAAAATCACACAAATAATGTGAAAGATATACTCACGCTGGTTCGAGAGTCTGCTCTTAACATTAATCTAGCCAGCTGCTCTAATTTCTTTTGACTGGTTACTGAGATACGTTTTGGAACATATTTTATTCTCGCGCGCGCACACGCACCACATCAGAAGGAAAACAACAGTGAAAGAACAGGTATTGAAACTTCGAACAGGCGAGGACACACAAGGTGACAAAGATTAAGCAAGACAGGGAAGGCTGGGCGGACTGCATTTTCTTGGATTGTTGGAAATCCTTTGACACAGTACCGCATACAAGGCTGGTACATAAGCTGGAAAGAAAGGCAGGTGTAGCTGGTAAGGTGCTCCAGTGGATAAGGGAGTACCTAAGCAACAGGAAGCAGAGAGTTACGGTGAGGGGTGAGACCTCAGATTGACGTGAAGTCACCAGTGGAGTCCCAAAAGACTCTGTACTCTGTCCTATCTTGTTTCTGATATATGTAAATGATCTCCCGGAGGGTATCGATTCATTTCTCTCAATGTTTGCTGACGATGCCAAAATTATGAGAAGGATTAAGACAGAGGAGGACTGCTTGAGGCTTCAAGAAGACCTAGACAAGCTGAAGGAATGCTCGAAAAAATGGTTGTTAGAGTTTAACCCAAGCAAATGTAATGTAATGAAGATAGGTGCAGGGAGTAGGAGGCCAGATACTAGGTATCATCTGGGAGATGAAATTCTTCAAGAGGCAGAGAAGGAAAAAGACTTGGGGGTTGACATCACGCCAGACCTGTCTCCTACAGCCCATATTAAGCGGATAACATCAGCGGCATATGCCAGGCTGGCCAACATAAGAACGGCATTCAGAAACTTGTGTAAGGAATCATTCAGAACTTTGTATAGCACATATGTCAGGCCAATCCTGGAGTATGCGGCTCCAGCATGGAGTCCATATCTAGGCAAGCATAAGACTAAACTGGAAAAGGTTCAAAGGTTTGCCTCCAG